GTATGGTTTAGTGCAGCAGTGAATTTTTTTGTGTTATTTATTGTTTTGAGATGTTGTGGAAGTAGGTTGTAGAGTTTTGCTCCCATTGCAGTGGGGGTTTTCTTGGTTTTATTTAGTCTGTTTTGTTGGGTGTTGTAGTTTGATTTTGATCTGGTGTTGTGGTTGTGGCATGTTTGTTTGGTTTCAGGCGGATTTTGTTTTATGAAATTGATGGTGTCAAATATGTATTGGGAGGTTAGGGTTAGGATTTGGTGTTTTATGAAAAGGGGCTTGCAGTGTTCAAGGTAGTGGGATTGGTCTATGACTCTGGCTGCTTTCTTTTGAATGATTTGAATTTCTTTTAATAGGCTTTCGCTGGCACTTCCCCATGCAATTAGGCCAAATTTCAGGTGTGAAGCGAAGATTCCATGGTAAGCCATCTTGGTGGTTTCTTCGTTAGTGATTTCTCTGAGTCTTCTAAGGGCATAGATAGCTGATGAGAGTCTTCGCTGGAGCCTTTCCAAGTAGGGGTGCCAGTTTAGTTGCTGGTCAAGAATGATGCCGAGGAATTTGGTTGTGGGGTTGGCATTTGTTGTGTCTTCTTGGGTTGAAGGATTGTTTGTTGGTGTGAATTTCAGGCAGACAGTTTTAGATTCGTTGATTCGGAGATTTAGGCTATTGCAGATTTGTTTTGCTGTGTCTATTGTTTTTTTCTGTTAGGTTGGGTGTTGGTGTGCCCGGGACTATGATGGTCGTGTCGTCGGCAAACATTATACATGTATTGTCTGCTGGTGGGGAAGGTGTCTATGTAGATCAGAAAGAGTAGGGGTCCCAGTACTGAGCCTTGGGGTATGCCTTGAGTGATGGTTTGCAGTTTTGATCTGGACTTGGTAATGAAGTTGCCACTTTGGTGTTCAATTTCAATGAGTTGTTGTCTGTTGTGGAGGTAGCTTTTTATCCAGTCTAGAGCTTTGTTGTTGATGTTTAGGGCTGATATTTTTTTGGAGAAGTAGGTTATGGTCTAGGCTGTCAAACGCTTTTTGGAGATCTAGAAATATGCCGTTTGCTGTTTTTTTATCCTCCCAGATATTGGTTATGGTGTTGCAGAGTTGAGCCAAAGCGGTATTTATGGATTTCTTTTCTCTGAAGCCGTGCTGGTTGTCGCTTAATAGGTGGTTGTTTTCAAGGAAAGTTATTATTTGGGAGTTGATTATTTTTTCCAGATATTTGGTTAGGGCCGGTAATATTGAAATTGGTCTATAGTTTTCGGTTAGGGTGGTATCTCCTTTCTTGAATTTGGGGTAGACCAGAGCTTGTTTCATGGCTTGTGGAACTGTGGCTTGTATTATGGAAGTATTGATAATATTTGTCAAGGGAGGCGTATTATCATAGACTAATGTTTTATCTATGGTATTATATATATAGAAGATGGATGGTAATATGCAATAACAATAAATGGAGTGGCAAAATATAAATAACACAACATATAAATAACAACTTATAATGACAAGGAAGCTACAAAGACACATAACAATGATAAATAGGGAACATAAAACGTGTAAAAACATGATGATGAAATTTGAAAAAAAGCTGATGAGATTGAGGCAATTGCAGTGGTGAAGGATAATATGCATATTCAACTCAAAAACACCTTGTGTGGCCCTTTAAAGGCACCACCTAACTCTCCACTGACACCACACCAGTTAAACACCTTTTAACTGAAGATGGGGAGCCGTGGAAGAAGTCTACCCTGGAAGCCACCTCGCTGCCATTCCTGAGAAGCCTGGCAATACCACTGTTGAGGGCATAGCTTGTAGGTCTGTAGCATCTTTGGAATATTGAATCTGAGCGCGTCCCACGAGGTACAGTGAAGTCTATGTCCTCAAGTAGGCTGGGGCAGTCAATATAACCATTTACAAGCTTGAAGAGAAAATGGAGGTCACTGACCTTTCTCCTCAAAAGAAGTGGTTGAAGTCTAAAAGCTTTTTCCACCTCAGATGTGGGTATTTCAAAGTATGGGTAGTTCAGCCTTACTCCAAGCATCCACACAAAGCGCAATTGAATTCTTTCAAGCTTTTGAATGTCTCCAAGTTGGTACGGTGCTCAGATTACAGTGCCATACTCAACGACTGGTCGTACAAGTGTCTTATAGAGTGTGACAAGAGTTAGTGGCGACTTAAGCTCTTTAGCTGTTCTAAACCCAAACCCTAGCAGTGAGCTGGCCTTAGAAGTTATGTGATCAATGTGTGGACGAGGGTCTAGGGAGGATTCCATAATGATTCCAAGGTCTCTAATCTTGTCGACTCTTCCTAGAACACTGCCTGCAATTTCATAATCAAAGCTGAGCCCGGCAGTAAGACCTCTCTTGAATGACATAGCACTGCACTTGGTAATGTTGAGATCCATTGCATTTGCTTCGCACCAATCTGCGATGTTATTCAGGCAATGTTGAAGATTCAGCTGATCCTCCAATGACTTCACACGAGCAAACACCTTCATATCATCGACGAACATCAGGAACTTGGAGCTGATTACACTTTTTATATCATTCACGAAGAGATTAAACAGTAATGGGCCCAAGTGAGACCCCTGTGGCACACCATCAGATACTGAACGTAGACAGGTTGTCCAAATTAGAGGTAAAATGTCACTTGAATTGGTTTTGCAAGCTGGAGTTCCGCAAGGCTATCGGTCCTTTTGGACCGATTCTGTTTTTAATCATGGTTAATGACCTTCCACATAATATTGTAAATTATGATACAATAATGTTTGCAGATGACAGTACCTTTAATACTAAAGCTTTGGATTTGCTATCTGTTGATATCATGTCTGATACATTGCAAAGTACAATCACTTATTTTAAATTGAATAAATTCACAGTTAATGAAACCAAAACTCAAAATGTTACTTTCAGTTTGAATAAATATTCCCCAGATGAGTCCGAAGAGAAATGTATCAAACTTTTAGGTTTGAAAATAGATCTCAATCTAACCTGGAGTAACCAAATAGACCACGTATGTTCAAAACTGTCCAGAGTTATATTTTTGTTATCAGTGTTAAGATTTCATGTTCCTTCAACCTATGTTACCAATGTCTATTATGCTTTGTTTCGCAGTGTCATCAGTTTTGGTTTAATTCTATGGGGTAATAGCTCAAGAATTGATGAAGTACTGATTTTGCAGAAAAAAGGCTATTAGAATAATGACAGGGTTAGAATTGAACGCTCATTGTAAACCTCTTTTTGCTGAACTTAAAATAATGACAATGACTGTGATTAATCTATATATTTTCATGTTATGTGTCTATAGTAAAGAAATAGAATGTACTTTCAACAGAGATGTTCACAAGTATAACACCAGAGCACAACATAAGGTCCATGTTCCTAGAGTTAGGTTAGGTAAAACTCAAAAGAACCATGTAGTTATAGGTTTAAAAATGTTGAATCACCTTCCTTATAAGTTAACTTGTCTACCCTTAAAAAGTTTTAAATGTAAATTGAATTCTCTTTTAACATCAAAGCCTTTTTACAGCATTAAAGATTTCTTTGAAAACAAATTCAATTAGGCCTAGTTTTTATTGTTAATGTCAGATGTGCTGTTTGTTTTTTATTGTCTAATGTTAAATGTATGTTTTTATTGTTGAATCTCCTGTTACCGCCCATAACAATTTTAAAATTTTTTGTACTATATTGTTGAGTTTCATTTTGTTATTGTGACTTTTTTAACTGTTAAAATTTTATGTACTGTATTGTTGACATTTGTTTATATACTTATATTTTTTTTAAACAACTTCTGTGATAGAAATCTAAAGACGATTTAAAGACTGCTTCTTATAATGGTTGTTTTCTTAAGACAAGCAATTCATGTTTGATAAATTGTACCTGACGATGGCCTATACATTTTTGATTTTTGTAATGTTTTCGGCAATAAATGTTTCTGATTTCTGATTATGCTGGATCGCGAACTCGTTCGAGTAAACGTAGGTTTACACGTTTGTACCAAATTTAATCAAAATCGGATCATTTTTGCTCAAGTTATCGCACTAACGGACACACACACACACACACACACACACACACATATATATATATATATATATTAGTAATTGAAATAAATAATTAAACATTTAGTACCCTTTAACTTAAAGGGTACTAAATGTTTGATTATTTATTTCAATTACCAATAACTCCTCTAATCAATTACTAATTAAGTTAAAGGGTACTAAATGTTTAATTATTTATTTCAATTACTAATAATAAAGTAGCCCTCAATAGTGAACGATATATTTATTCAATATATATATGAATTTGAACGGATGGTGTTTTTGGCCTCTAGGGACCTCAAAATGAAAAATCAAATCGGTCCCGGGTCCAGGTCTTGCCATGAGTACTACACTTCTCATCCCATTGTAAATTTTGAAGCACGTTTTTCGTGTCTAATTCATGTACGTGACACAAAGGCGCTAGTGTCGATGAAACTTTGTTTCAACTATTTTAGGGTTAATTTCTTGATTTCTGCTTTACTGTTTGGTTATATAACTAGGGGACAAGTTATTGTTTATGATTAGATCGTATTATTTGGTTAAACGAGGGTTTAAATGGCTGTAATAACGGGAAACAAATTGTAAACAAAACACGACCTCTACATAAACCGTACATGAACTAACAATAAAATTGTCTTCAGCTGTTCCATAAGGATGAGAAATCTACTAAGGGAGTATGTTTTATCTATGGTACTACCTAAGGGAGTATGTTTTATCTATGGTACTACCGTGGTACTACGGTAATAGAATAGCTTATTCCCCATAGGGGAAATTCGCTAACATCCTCATGGCTTTTTGTTCAGCCTGTGAATGCCTGCGAAAGAAAGAAGAATACTGACCTCCCTGAACACCTCCAACTCCAACCAATACCATACCTTATTCTTCTGCTTCTCTTCACTTAGTTTTTTTACTAACGAAACAACGAAAACGAAAGAAATAAAAAAAAAATTAAATCTTTCAAATCTTTCAATTTCAAACATTTTGTTAATTTGTTTGGTATTTCTTTTCTATTTTCTTTGTTTGAAATTATATAAATTGTAGTAGTAGTGTAGAGTTGTTGCATACCGGATGATAATTATTAACTATACGGATTTAGTTTGGAATGGCTTGATAAAATATAATAGATTTATTTATCTAACTTGTTTCGTTTCATTAAATTTGACTTTTCCGTTAGATTACAAGTAACTTAGGCCTAGGTAAGTAAGTACAGTATTTCATACCATTAGACAATATATTTTAAGATAATTCGTAGTAATATCTACAAAGTCTAGGCCTGGCTGCTATACAGATAGTAACTAACCTAACAAAAGCTAAAGGATTTAGATTTGTTGTTTGTTCTAGCTGAAGTATATGGCACAAAGTCACTTTATTATTGGTTTTTTTATCATATTGCCTAGGGAAATCAATAGAAGCCTAACACCTTAGAAAGTTATGAGTCAGCCTAGTCCTAAATGTTTGTATTGTAGTGAGTTTTCTCCATAAGGAAGAAGCTATTACCATAGACTAAGCTATTACAGTAGGGCCCTAAAATAGTCTATCTCGAATCTGAAAGTGATAGCCTATGTTCAAAATTCGAGTTATTTTGGTAAGTACTTGATACTTACTTGATAATTGAAAGTCTCTTGGAAGCACTGATGTGCCGTGGTCGTCAGTTTGTTGATGGCCTAGTCATTGAAAAATTCTTCCACAGAATAGTAGCCTAAGGCCTCTTGAGAAGGAAGTCTTTTAATTTGGTTTTAAGGACTTTTCCATCTTCTATACTTCTTAGTTCAATTTGAACTTTATTGAAAACTTTAATACACATGAATCTTAGTCCATTTTTTGCTAGGCTAGATGACACTTGAGGTACAGTACTTGTAGATTATTCCTCTGGCGAGTGTTGTAGTTGTGTATATCTAAATTCTTGCTGAAGTTTTCAGGCTTCCTGTTGACCATCAGTGCTGACTCCAGAATGAAAAGGGCTGGTAGGGTCAGGATTTTAGATTCTAAAAATAGTTCTTGGCAGTGTGCTACTTATATAATTTTTGTTGCATATTATTCTAATGATGCGTTTTTGTAGCAGGAGAATACGTTGAGCAAGTGGGCTGCTGCCCCAAAAGACTATTCCATATTTGATGATGCTATGAAAACAACCAAAATAGACCTTCATGAGTATGTCTTTTTCAACTAGGTTTTGCAAGCGTCGCGCCATATAACATGTAGCTGTGAGTCTTGGTATCAAACTTTCAATGTGTTTCTGCCATCTGAGGTCTTCACTGATGGTAATGCCTAGATATTTGATATGGCTGTCAATGGAGACGCTTGCGCCTTCGAGTCGAAGCAGTGGTGAACTATCTGGTTTTTTCCTGTTGTAAAATTGTATGGCTTTTGTTTTCCCTTTATTTAGCAATAATTTATTTGTATCGCACCATTCACTCATCAGGTTTAAACCTTCTTGGGCTTTGGTCTTGAGTAGTTCCTCATTCTCACAGTGAAACAGGTGGCTGATGTCGTCAGCAAACATCCATTTATTACCAGAAGTTAATTACTCAGGCAAGCCGTTCACATAAAGGAGGAACAAGACCGGGCCTAGGTTCGAGCCCTGAGGCACGCCTGTGTTGATGGGAGGCGAAGTTGCAGAACGAAAATTTCGGATTAGCCCATCCTGACTTGAGTGTCGTATGCTTACTATCTGTTTCCTATTTTTCAAGTATGTGGCTATCCAGCAAAGAGGCTTGCCACTTATACCCATTGACCTACGTTTCTGGAGTAGCGTTGAATGTGAAAGCAAATCGAATGCCTTTGTCATGTCGTAGAATACACACAACTGTTCGCCCATCTCATCCAGATTATCATACAAATTCATCAACAGGTCGAATATTGCATCAACAGTAGATTTATTTTTACGAAACCCATACTGATGGTTGTTCAGCAGATTTTTACTGTCCAGGTACAAAATAAGTCTTTTTAGGAAAATAATTTCAAAAATCTTAGAAAAGACACTCTGTACAGCAATTGGTCGGTAGTTTTTAAACAAGTCCTTTTCATTATTTTTATGTATAGGAACTACTTTTGATGTTTTTATCTTACTGGGAAATATGCCATCTTTGAATGATTTGTTGATGATCATTGGTAAAGCTATTTCTTCTTTACAAACTTTTAAAATACTACAGGGTACTTCATCGACACCAGCACTATTCTTAAGACTTATTTTGTTCATTATTTCCAATACCTCCTTCTCATTTGTAGGCCCTAACTGGAATCCATTTTCATGATCGAGTTGACTTTAAAGATCTATATCTACCGGTGTAACAGGTCCTGTTAATTTTACAATTTCCGACACAAAGTAATCGTTAAATATATTTGCTACACTGCCAGAGTTGGTAGTGAGCTCGTCATTGTTATTTAAACATACATTAAAACTATTTACATCATCATCACATGTTAAACTTTTAACTAATGTTCCAAGACTCTTTACTAGGCCTAATGTTTTTGGCGTTGTCAATTTTCGCCTTATAGCCTAGAACTGTTTCTTAGATTTGTTTAGCAAAGAAGTATGAGCAGTTTTTGCTCTGGTGTATTCATTTTTGGTTACATCATTTGGTGAATCTCTCGTCCGCCAGTACAAATCTTTTAAATTTTCCTCGGAATCAACAACTTCTTGATTACAGTAATCCATTTAGCATGTGACTTGTCTTTAATATTAAATAGTGACTTTGGGAAACAAATATCAAATATGTACATAAACGTAGAATAAAAATCTTCAAAACATTCATCAACACCTCTTGTTGTATAATTTCCCGGCCAGCTTTGCATTGACAATAGGCGTTTGAATAATTCTAGGCTACTGTGATTTATTTTTCTCTTTTCAATCTTCTTACAGTTATGGAGTACGCTTGCGTTTAGGTAAAACATTAAAATACTGTGATCGGAGAGGAGCGGGGGTAGTTATTCCTTATTATTTGTGACACTTACTCCTCCGAAACTACTGAACCGATTGTCATGTTTTTGGTGTCATTGGAAAGAGCGTAACGTGAAGTTGTGCAGGAAACTTTCTTTTTAGGGAAAGAATGAGAGAGTGAGGCCCTGGAGCCCTTTAAAGTTTCGTATTTCTCCATAAGATTAACATTGGAAACAAAAATTGTTATGAAACTTCAGCTGTTGTCAGAAATCAAAAGTGAGAAGAAGATCATATGTTAATTTTAAACAGTCAATAAGTTTGCTAATTTAACAGTTCGCTACAAATATTTGCTGACTTGGTTGAAATTCGTTTTAAAATAACGCCTGTAATACTTAGCAATTGTTCGAATTCGAGCAACAGGGACACTAGTCCTCTTTAAATTTTGTATCAAAAATCATCATAGAGCCGCGCCGACTTAAAATAGGTGAGCTTTACTAATACAAAAGTTTACTTTATTGAAATTATTTCATTCTTTTTAGAGCATTTGAAGTCGGTTGTATTTTTTTACAAAAATAAATTATTTTAATTTAAAACTCCTGTAATACTTTGCAATTGCTTGAGTAATGAATCCATAACAGCCCACAAATCAAGAAACCACAATTCACTTTAAGTTAGGATTTTTTTGTTTAAATTGGCTAGCTACAATAATTTTTAAATTGTCATCGGTTTTGTAAACCATCACCTTTAGCTAACTAGGCCTAGCCTAGATTTCTAGACAAATCAGTAAAACTGTAAACATGATGACCCGTCTACCAAAATTTGATTCAGCAACTTATCAGTATATTTTCTTTCTTAACTTATGGTATTAAAATATGGGACTAGTTCCTTAATTTATAAACAATTCAAAAATTAAGTTAAAGGAAAGATTGGCTTTTAGGTTAGCATTGATAATGGATGAATCAGCTATGGACATGACTAATGTATGCTCTTCAGTGAATAGAACAAAACCTGAGCTCAACTCTCCCAGAGACAAGCATGAGGTAAGATAAAACTTTGAATAAAGTATTTAACAATATTTATTAACCTATATAAGCTAGGTAGGTGAGTGGTTATCGTGCTTATCGTAAAAGTGAGTAGCTTTTTGATGTTTCGAAGCTGGACCCAGCTGTCCTTGAGTATTGGGCTTTTAATTATAGTCCTAGGTGGCAGGATGTCGGGGTGGCACCTTGACGGCTACTCGTAGGTTCTAAAAAACTACTTTTTTCAAGCGAACTCAAACTCAAAATCAATCGAGCAATGTTTAATTGGTAGTATTTAAACAGCTGGGAATCTGTATTCAGCCTAACCTATCAATAAAAGCGGCTCCAGACATGCGCCAATCGCCAAGTTCGTGCTGATATTTGACATTCGGTGATCTAATTGTATGTCTATTTGCCGATTAACGAGTACACGTCTACACACATTTGTTGTTTTCCAAGCAACTGTTCAATTCTGGAATAGTAAATATTCGTTCACTTTGATGTGTGCAAAAATATCGACAATGAATGGGAAATCACGAGCACGAATGTTTGCTGCTTGCCAAAAAGACAAACACCTATCCACACTACTCTTGATTCGGTGGGAGCGTTTCATAAACTCCAAATTTCACAAACTCCAACGCTTAAAATATTAAATAACCAGAGCGGTTCATAACCTCCAATTTTCATAAGCTCCAAATCTATAACATTCAAATAATCACTGTTTCACAATGTCCAAAATTCACAAACTCCAACGTTAAGATACCAAATAAACAGTGCGGTTCATAATGTCCAAATTTCATAACCTCCAACGGTACAGTCTGAGCCAGAAGTCTCTACAGTGGTTGCCACAGTCAGATAGCAGGCACCGTTCGCCAGCGCTCAACTACTGATTATACGTGCATTTTATGATTGAAGAACATTCAGCTGTGTGACTCAAATATGTGTTAGCACATAATGTGCAAATCAAATTTACATTTTTACATTTTTAATACCTTTAATTCAAGCTTTCAGCTGAGTTTCTTAACTGTTCCGTATCTCAATTAAAAAGCCAATTATTACATTACAAATATCGTAAGAGATTTTTTTACCGAAGAAAAATTTTAAAACATATAAATATGTTTTATAAGTATATTTTCTAATAGCTGTTAAAATTTCATAACGATTACATCAGTTGTTTTTTTTGTAATGTGTAAAAATAGCCCTTTGTTAGAAAAGTGCCGAAAACCTTGTACTTTATTCATTCTACCCACTAAAAGGATGAGTTTAAACTACATAAAAAGGTAGAGACTAACATACATAAACGCAGAAATACATTTTTATAAGTAGGATTTAACTTATACATCATATTGTAGGTATACTGGTCACGTTTCAATAAAAGCTCATACTCGAGTATTTACACTTTTTTACTCACAGCAGTCTCGTTTCTCTTTGCAACTTAATGTGGCTAGTTCAATAATGTTAAAGTTTTGACAAGGTGATAATTTATATTTTGATTTGCCTTTTCAGTGGAGAGCTAAGCACTGTATACCTTTTATTTACCAATAAAAATGCGTAATCACAAACAGTGGAGTCTTTGACTGTCGTATAAAATATTAAGGTATGAAGTTGTTGTTGTTGTAACGATTATTGCATATTCTATTTAAAAATAGTGTTCAATGTAAATAATTCAACCAGTTATTAGATAGGTACCTTTTATAGTTTTTAGATTCTATTTAGCAAATTTCCCTATAAGAAAGTACAGTAGCTATTACCGTAGGTGGCATTGTAAGACCTAGGCCCGGGACCGATTTACTTTTTGATTTTGATTATGTTAGCGTATTATATATATAGATTTCCGTAGTGGTTAATTATTCATGAGATTTACTTTCTGGAGAGAATTTGTAGAATAGTGTTTTATTAACTGTAAGGGTTTCTGTAATATTATTTATAATATGTTACCTTAAATTATCACTTACATTTCATTACACAGTTTAACTTTAACTAGTCTGAATTTCAATTTTTCAGTGAATATAAATTAAAATGTATGCAGCACTTAGCTCGAATTGATTAGGGGTTTAGGTTGGATAAGAAAAAGTACAGTCCAGCAAAAATTTCGCACCACGGCCTTGCTGGCGTTGCAGTCAAGAGGGAAGCTATCGTCAAGAGGAAACACCATACTTTGCAAAAAAATATATAGGCCTATTTTTTGTTTTGGTCAGAGAGGTTCTGCCTGTGGCTAAGTTGTAGCCAATAGTTTAATGCATAAAATAGCCTGTATTTTTTAATTGTTTACAAACAATGTTTCTGTAGATTGCTTAAACATGTAGGGCAATTTAGCATTTTGCAACGTGTAGAAAGAAACTACAATCGTACGCGTGCCGTATGGACTAATGTTTAATTACCTAAGGACAAAATAAAAATTAATTTATCTTTTACTGACTTTAAAAAAAAAAAATGCAAAATCGGCATGTAAACTGCGAACTTAATTAGGCCTTTTACCATCACTAACTTTAACAACAAAACCAAGATACCAGAAGACGCCAAATAAAATTTCAACACAAATCACTAATTTCACTAATTAATTATGGATTCAATATCAAATGGAAAACTCCTGCTTTGTTTTTATTTCAAAAACATTATAATGAGATGATATATTCTAAACGTTTCTGTAAACATTTGACGCTTACTTTAGTGTTTAATCAATATTTTGTTTAAAGTGGAATGACCTCAACGGCTACTCTGGAACTAACCTGAGAATTAAACTAAAAAAGTTCGTAGAGATAATATATTTTTTCACTAAAGCAATTACTATGACAAGTTCCAGTGAGCGGGATTTATTAATTTTGTTTGGAGAAGGTTTTAACTAGGTACATTCTGTTTCTCAAAGGAAAAGGGGTTAAAATCATATAGACTAGCATGCATAGTATGAATAAAGTACAGGGAAAACCTATAACAGTAATATTTTGAGGTAGTTTCCTTTTCTTTATATGCTTGTCAATGCTGGAGAAACGTAATTTCGTGATTAGTTTCGACAAATGGGTAATCAAACCCTAACCATGCACTGCAGTGGCAAAAATGTTAGACTAGAGCCGTTGATTAGCTTTTTCAAATATAGATGAATATAAACTCGTTAAATGTTTTAAAATAAAATCCATTGAATATAACATGTAATACTATCTAACAACTAAATGGCTAAAGAGGATGAAGAAGCAAATAAATAGGTATTGTAATGTGGTCTCAACCATGGTCTCAACTATGAACCCGCTGAACGTTTTAAATAGGCCTATTTCGATAGAATGTAAAGTCAATCGAACTTTTAGCAGGAATTCCACCACATAAACTTAGAATAAGAGTAGTTTCTATTTTTGTTTATATTATTATGACCAGAACCAAATCTAGGGTAAAGTTTAGTCAAAGGGATGCATTTACACTAATTTAGTTTACCTTTACGAAAGGAGTATAAAAGTAGAAATAATAACTGGGCCAGGTCGCTAATTCAGTGGGTTTTACCAAGAACTTAAATTATCTCCACATCCAAATAGGAAACTATGCCTTTTCATATTTCACGAAGACAATTTCCGAAATTACAATCGGGGAAGCATTTATATCAAAGAATTTTGTTAACTATAGACTACCGGTAAGCATTAAAATGCACAAACATACGCCTGTAAATTAAGTTACCATTCTTCGTAATGTAATGACATATTTGATGTAATATAATGATAATTAAATGCTAGAAACTCAGTTTCTATATCCTGTAAACTGATGCTGAGCCGGCCAAACTCCTAGCGCCAATGCCGCGCCAAGCGATTTTATGCCTATTTTTAATCGCTTAAAAATGATACAAGCAGGCTCCGTATCAAAAAAAGCTTCAAATAAAAAATAAAATTCATACTTTGATCTAAAACTTTGCCGCAGAAATTTTTTTCCTGACCAAAAAATAAAAAATTTCCTCACTTACTACATTTTTCATGTTTTTTATGGTGTTAAAAAACAATCATCTGTTTTAATTTGCCTAAATAAATTATAAAAATTATGTTAAGGTAAAAACTAGCTACATAGTAATGAGCACTGGTTTTTCCAGAAAAATAATATATCAATTTGAAATTTGTATGTTAACAAATAAGTGTAGCAGAGCAGGTTGAGTGAATGTATGTTTGTGTAAAACAGAGAGGTTCATTCGGCCCGTACGCCTCGGTATCCGGCCAATTCGATTGACTTACGGCAGAGACTGTACCGTTGGAGCTTATGAAACTTGGAGGTTATGAACTGCTCTGTTTATTTGATATTTAAAAGTTGGAGTTTGTGAAATTTGGACATTGTGAAACTGTGCTTATTTGAAAGTTATAGTTTTGGAGTTTATGAAGTTTGGAGGTTATGAAACGCACTGTTTATTTAATATTTTAGACGTTGGAGTTTGTGAAATTTGGACATTATGAACCTCACCCGATTCGGTGAGTCGCTGCTCGGTGTTTGGCGAATGGTGCATGTGGTGAGCCTTCTTTCTAAGTTATTTGTTTTTTACTCCCCCCCTACATATTGGCTTTGTATACCATTTTGTCATATATGTTTTATGGGGAAAGTACTGTTTTTTCGTCAAAATTTTCCAGTTTGAGCTTTGGGTGGACATATCCGTTTTGGGCCTCCCTGAACCCAAAAAAGTGGTTTCAAAGTGATGTCTGTATGTGTCTGTGGATGTGTATAGAGCTACAAACCCACACCTATGGTCCGATTTTGATGAAACTTGGTATGGGTAGGGTACTATTAATTCGTGGTCTCCAGGTTCATTAAAATTATTTAATTTCTATGGGTATTTTTCCATAAAACCCCATAAAAAAGTGAAAAATCAAATTTTTACAAAAAACAGCACACATGGTTTTGATTAAAATTTAGTAGGTTATAGCCCCTAAAAGGGCGCTGCCCTTTACTCAAGAGAGGGAAAATCAGGTGGTGTCAGCTCTCCGGGGAATCTGGGGGGTAAAGAATACCCCCCCAGATTAGAGGGGGGTCTGGACTACTCTCCTCCAGAAAATTTGGAAAAA